ATATATATATATATATATATATATATGCAGACAGGGTAATCCTGATCGTTTCTCACCTCTGGCGCTCAGGGCGATGAAGGTTTGCGCGTGCCTCCTGACCATCACCGGGTCCCAGGTACGTGGCACCGGCAGTCTGTTGAGGATGTGCATCAGGAAGTCACCGGGCGTTACAGCCGACAATTCCCATTTCAGCTTCGAGACGACTAGCTGCTCCCACCTCTGCAACAATCATCCAGACGAGAACGAGGTTTAGACGATCGTATCATCGTATCCGATTATCTATCTCGTTGGTGGGATTTTTTAGTTTGGGCAATGATGCGTGAAAGGGGATGCGTTAAACTTTCGTCTGTGACTTTTTACCCGCGATTTTCAAACGAGGATAATTTATTGGAAAATAATGTGTCTTTCAGTTCAGGGAATACCCGGAATGTTGCAGACAGAGATTTTGTTAACGAAGTCAAGTAAGTTGAACACTTCAAGTCGGATAGATAAGCTTTCTGTTCAGAATTTTTCATGTTTTCATAGATAAGTTAGTTTATACGTGAATGTATTTAATATAGCATATGAAGAGGATTCTAGGTAGAAAAGTTATTCTAGACTTCTCATTTTGTATTCTGCGTGTATTATAAATTTTAATAAATTTCTCTCTATTTAGTCTTATAAATTCAATGTTAATCATTCGTTTTATATTCGTATTTTATTTCACACAACAATAATTTATAATACTTCGCGTGTAGACATTCGTTACGCGCATACTTTATAGTTCGAATATATGTTATATATAGTATGTATATCCTTGATAATATTTTACTATGGAGTTAATTTCATAACAAGATGAAAAGATTGAGAGTGTTTCTCGTTGAAAGTTACTTCCAAATACCCCATGTATCGTGCATGAAGATATTTCGCGCGAGACGTGATGAGAATATAAGGAATTCCACGCGTTAAGTGTTTAATGCGGTGGATATCCTCTTTATGCTACACGTTCAGTATACCGAACATCACTGATACAGTCAACACCCTTCCTATCACATGTTCGATACACTGAACATCCTTTATTTCCCGCGTTTAATATGCCTAGTATTCTTACACTTGCCATATTCGATATTACTCATATATCAGCAGCCTCGTATCGAGGGTTTTGCAAGTATTATGTATGAGTGAGATCGACGTTATGTCGAAACGTAATCAAGATAAACAATTGAAGTCGTTCTATCCAGTTCGCTGCTTTATCCATTCACTTCTCTTTTTTTGAAAATAATTACAGATTTGTTAAAGATAAGCTCTTCGATGATATCAAGTACAGGGTGATTCAGGCAATTGTAAGGAGTCAAATCTCTTTTTGAATTGATTCT